AAAATGGATATCTAATATTCAAGAGAAAAATTTTCTCAAGGTGAGAAAATTTTTTTCTCAGCTGAAGTAGGTGGCGCTGCTTCTCTAAAGTATCTAAGAATCTTGATCAAATATAAAAATTTATTGTATCAAGTATTTATGATAATTAGAATTATGAAAAAATTACTTCCACCAAGAATAGAATTTCAAGAAAAATTTTCACTTCGGCCAACACAACTTCGGTCTTCCTTCAGGCACCCGAAAATTTCCTTGAGCCAAAAATTTTGTTCTCCAGTCAAGAAATTTTTTTTTTCTCGGTATAAAATTTCTCAAAAATTTCAATAATTTTTAATAGAAATGACAAATTAAGAGTAATTATTCACTTTAAAATTAAGTTAAAGGGTTACTTTGCAGGATTGTCCTTAAAAAAATCAATAAAAAGGAATTGATAATTAATTCAGCTTATCTAAGTCAATTAAATTGCTCACTACTGCGCACAAAGAAGTCATTAACTTAAAAGCAATTATAAATCGTCGAATTCTTGAAGATAATTAGTTAATCGTAACAATTAAAAAATACCCATGAACATTTTGATAAAAATCCAAAGCAATAAAAAAATATCGGTAAAACCAGAGCAAATTGCTAAATAATAATACCTTAGATACGCTTTGATATGTGGTGTTTTTCATATTGAATTATAAGTCACGTGACTATCGCTAATCAATAAGATAATTCGTCATTAATTTCATATAAATACCAAGTACATTTTTTATTTTTCATCAATGTCTTCAAAGGAAAGTCTAATTATCTAAAATAATCTTCATAGTAAAGTAAGTAGTTTTTTTAATTACTAAAAAAATAATTTAATGTAAAAATTATTTTAAACTTGAATAAAATGTATATGGCTGTGATAATATAAAAATTTTTATTGTCACAAAAAATCAGCGCTTGAAAAAACTTTTCAAGCTTTGAAATTTTGTAATTTTCGAAAAAAATCACTGTTTTAAAATTATATAAATAAATTAATGAAAAAATTTTAATTCTTCAGGTTCTATTATCTAATTTCAACGACAAAAATGATGAAATTACTGTTAGCAACCGTCGCCGTCATGCTTCTGATAACAATAGTGTCTTCATGCAATTCATATGGCGAATATGTAAGTTGATAAATAATGTGTGAAGAATTATTCTCAAAATATAGATAAGCCGGCAATTGATAATTAACTTAAATTAATATTTTTTTTCAAAACCTAGTGCACGTGGGACCATAATTGCTGTGAGAGATTGTGCGTAAAAAACAGCTGTAGATAAATGCATGTGATTTCTTCAAGTCAAGAAATTGATCGGTTCCTCTCCAGACAAGAATTTCTTTTTTACGATCAATCTAATGAGAAAAACAATTTATAAATGATGTATGAGGAACACAATAAAAATTTGACCTAATCATGATTTGTTTGTTCAAATTTAATTATTTTTTATAAAATGTAAATTTAATGTGAAAGAATATCTCGTAATAATTAGAACGACGCATTTTGTAAAAAATTTATTGCTTATTGATGGGAGCTTCGGTTTTAAGGTCAAGTAAATATTTTCGACTATCTACTATCAGCTATTGGCTGTATGGGATTCCCAGAAGCCTATCTGAGCCCAACTCAGCTAGAAAAAAGAAAATTATCTCTAATCAATGAGATAATTCGTCATTAGTTTCATATAAATACCAAGCATATTTTTAATTTTTCATCAGTGAATTTGGTTGTGTCTTCAAAGGAGCGTCTAATTGATTAAAATAAACTTCATAGTAGAGTAAGTAGTTTTTTTAATTATTAAATAAATAATTTAATGTAAAATATTATTCTAAACTTGTATTGCATGCCTTAAGCGCGAAGCGCGCAGGTATGCTCTACTCTCGCCTAAAAATCGTGATTTCGATTAAAACGTGATTTTCATAATTTAAACGAAAAAAATTATGGATAAAAAGCATATTGAAATAAATAATAGTAACTATAGAACACATTAAAAAAATTTTCTTATCGATTAAATAAGATTTCTCAGAAAAAACTCGTTTTTCTGATGAATTAAATGAATAAGAGCGTGGAATTCACGGGAGCTATGGGCTTGACAAGACCACAACTTTGTCAAAAATCACTTTCACGATTTAATTTTTTTTTTGTTTTATTCCTGAGGAAGTTTATCAAAACCTTTGTGAAAATTGCGTGTCAAAATAATTCCGTTTCGATACAGTTAATTTTTTTCGATTGTCAGTTCGGTGACTTTTTCTGCGATTTCGGCAGCCATATGTATTATTTTTCATAAACAGAATTGAAATAACTATAAACAAGCAGAAACTATAGATACATGATGGTATAATTACTAACTGTTTTATCATCTGTTAAAATTTTTCTTTAGTTCGACCTACAGAGGGGATAATACTACTCGCGGGAAAATTCAAATTAAAAACGAATAATTTTTGTTATGATCTAAATATTTTATGTATGACATGAACGCTTAAGGCATGCTCATTTGGATTTTCCAAACTTTTTTTAATGTATATCACTGTGAAAATATAAATAATTTTATTGTCAAAAAGATCAGCGCTTGAAAAAACCTTTTCAATCTTTAAAATTTTGTAATTTTCTAAAAAAAATCGCTGTTTTAAAATTATATAAACAAATTAATGAAAAAATTTTATTTTTTTAGGTTCTATTATCTAATTTCAACGACAAAAATGATGAAAGCTTTGTTAGCAACTGTCACCATTATGCTTCTGATGACAATAGTGTCTGCATGCCAGTCATATGGCGAACCTGTAAATTAATAAATAATATGTGAAGAATTATTCTCAAAATATAGATAAGCCGGCAATTGATAATTAACTTAAATTAATATTTTTTTTCAAAACCTAGTGTACATTTGGCCGTAATTGCTGTGAGGGATTGTGCTTATACCAAAAGTGTGCGTAAATACATGTAATTTCTTCAAGTCAAGAAATTGATGGGTTCCTTACCGGACAAAAATTTCTTTTCTACGATCAATCTAATGAAAAAAACAATTTATAAATGATGTATGAGGAACACAATAAAAATTTGATCCAATCATGATTTGTTTGTTCAAATTTAATTATTTTTTATGAAATGTAAATTCGATGTGTATGCGGAAAAAAGAAAACTCGAAAAATTACAGTTTTATATTGTAATTATTATAGATTTTGTAAGAATTACAGTGTAGAATGTAATATTAACATAGAAAGCTCTGAATATTAAATTGAAAAATTGAATTTAGAAAAATGTTATTTCAAACTGTAATTTTTACCGATTTTACATTTTATACTTTAATTTTTCTTTTTTCCGTGTAAGGATATCTCTTATACAACAGAATGACGTGAAAAAATATTAAAAATCAAAATTATTAAGGGGTAATAGGCGCTTGAGCTTAAGAACATGTCGGACAGGTGAATATTTGACCAAGTAATTATTGAATAAATAAATAATAGTTTAAAAAAACTAAAAACACGCTTTTTATAGAAAACCAAACTAAAAAATAGAAAATAAATTTTAATAAATTTAAATCAAGAATAGTGTTAAAAATTTCAATAAATATAAATTAATAATAGTGTAAATAAATAAAAAATGTATTTTATTTTAAAAAAAAGCTTGGGGTGCATGGTGTCAATAGTTATAAATATTTTAGTGACAGATATGAGTAGAGTGATTATCAATTTGATATCTTTAAAAGCACCCCACGCTTTTTTAAAAATAAAATACACCCGTGCAAAAAAATTTATGATTCATTATGAACTTAATTCCGATTTTCATAATGAAATTTAAAATTAGACACAAATCTGAATTTATTTCGAAATCAATTCAACTTAAGGATAGCGTAAAATAGTTCGAAGGAAAAACAGTATGATTATAATTTTGAAATTCCAATATGAATTAATAATGGATTAGATGTAAATAAAAGAATTTACATCAAGATGTAACTAAATTTAGATATACTGCAGTGAATGAATTTTAATTTCACTCTAATATCACACGAGTAATTATTATTACAAATTCTACTTTTTCATAATATTAATATGGATTCATAATAAATTTATAAAAAAAAAATGAAATAACATTATAAGAAGTTTGTTTTACGTTGCTGAAAAAGGGCTAATTAACAGGTTTTTAATATTTTTTTTCTTTTAAATATCAATTAGATTTAATAATCATCAGAAAATGATTACTTACTTGAAATTTAGATTTAGTCCACTTATAATGTTATGAATGATTTTATAAATAATTAAAATTTATAATCGATTCATATTGACTCAATTCTTTAATTACTATATATCAATCGATAATAAATTTATTTTTTATTTGAAAATGCATATAAATAAAATAAGTTTATATAAATAAGTTTAAGGTCATAGTTCGTTTCTGAGAATAAAGTAAGTATTGAAAATCATTATAAGTTAGTTTTTTTATTAGCATTTTATTACAAAGAAATTTAATTTAGCAAAATTATTCTAAATCCAAGATAACTTAACTCACTTAACTAAATATAATTTTTCGATAATACGAGCCGTTTGCCTAATAATTTGAAAAATGTATACAAAAAAAATTTGAAAAATAACTTTGACAGTAATAAATATGTGAATAAATGATACAATTTGTATGAGGAGTAAGAGAAAAATTGTCCAAAGCTTTTTTGAATATCATTAAATTTACAACAAGTAAAAATTTTTATCAATATAATATTTCGAAACAGGGGAAAATTTTTAAAATAAAAAAAAAAAGTACACTACATGATTTTTGAATGAAAAAAATTTGACAGAAAATAAGTTAATTTGAATTTAAATTGAGAGCTTAAATTTTAAAAAATTATATTTAGGTGATTAGAACAATATTCCATGTATCATTGAAAATAAAAAAAAAAAAATAGTTCCAAGTATCCCGTGTAAATAATCAAAAAATACTTTTAAGGGATTCTTCAAAATTCTTAAACTCGTAATAACTAACATAATTTTTTTTTTAAACAAATCAATCTTTTTTTTCTTTTTCCTTAGTCTTAAATTTCCCACGAATAGTGCAACACATACTACCGACAATATTTTGAAATTCATCTACATTCACTTCATGGCCTTTGCTCACGTTCGCATTAACATATTCTGAAATAAACAAAAAAATCAGTTAATTGATTATTCTATTAATCAATAAATTGAACCTAAAAAAATTTTTGCATTTAAAATGAAATATCTTCCTGATTTTTAGAAAATAATTGATTTTCATAGCGAGAAGTTAAGAAAAAATTGACAGTTGTTTAATTGAAAAAAATATTTCAATGTTCATTTTAATAATTACGGAAAATTGCTTTGGAAATATCTTCGGGAATTAATTCCCTGCCTTCCTTTTGCTTCAGGGGAACCATCCGCGAAAGTTTCTCTTCTCCGAGTACCAGCCTGAATAAGTCTCGTATCATTTGACCTGCCTTTTTAGTATTGCATTTAGTGATCATTAGCAACCGATATTCACTAACCATGATATTCGATCCCTCGATTAACTCGACCTATATGAAAAAAAAAATATTATTTACAGTTCAGTAAGGTGTGACAAAATTATATACTTATATGATTAATTTTATGTTATCGATACCTCCTTTTTTGTATTTACTATTTTTTTTTGTTTTGTATGCCCAGACGACTTCACTAGTTGTCGTTCATTACTACGTTTAAATTGCAAAAATTGTTTAAAGAGTTTCAAATCTAGAATATAAATGAAACAACCATTAACTTCATGTTATATGTATTTTAAAAATCGGGACATTAATAAATATATATAGATATATAGATATATCATTATTACCCTCCATGGACACTTCATCATCATTTGAGTCATCAACTATTTTAGAGGATTCTGTACAAGTGAATGATAAGAGATTATAAGTAAATGATCGATCATTATCTTTAAAAATAAATTCTACTAAGTAACAATAAAAATATCAAAGAGATCACAAACAAATTTTAAAGTGGCGAATCCAGCTTAAGTACTATTAATTGTTGAAAAAAAGTTCTGTGCATAAGATTCTAGTTTCAAGAGAATCTACCAAAAAAAATATTTATTGAAGAAATATATATTTTGTCGAAAGCAATATAAATTATAAAAAATAGGAAGGATAAAAACTTTGATAGTAACAGTAATAATTTACTTTCTTCAATAAATAAAACTTATCAGTGCAGTATTGGTCAAATCATTCAAAATAAATTTATCACGATAAAAAAATTATAGTGTAGACATCACTAAAGACTCTGACAGTTAATAAATAATAATTCAAAAAAATTACATACTTCCATTTGTTGGTGTTATTTTCTGTTTCCTATTTCTTGAAGCTTTTAAGCTTGAATTTATTTTGTTTTCAAAAGAATTGAGAGAATGGATAGACAAATTTTTTTCTTGAAGTTTTTGCTTTTTATCTTTTAGATTATTATCGTTGTTGCTTTCTTTCGTTAATTCATTGTTTGTATTATTTGTTTTGTCAATGATTCCTACTTCTTTGATATCAAAGCCTATTTTAGAAAGATTTTTATCTATAAATATAAAAAAATTTGTTTTACATCTTATAGTTTATTTATAAAGTTAGCTATTATATGCGATAACGGAATTATATTAAAAATGAAAGATAAGAATTTTTTTATATAGCTACTTGACGATTACCTTGAGTATCATTGTCATTGTCACTAGAATCTTCTGAGGAAATTGAATATTGGACAAGACGCGTTTGGAGTTTATTTTTTTGTAAAATTGGTTCAATATTTCTATTCTCTTTAACGAAAACTTTGCTATTTTTTATTTGTATGTCATCATGTTCGGTATCCTCATCAGTTGCATAATCTAATAATCTGTTAGTGTTCATCTTAGTAGATAGAGTAGTTAGTTTTTTCAGATCGTCAGTTTTATTTGTTTTAGGGTTCTGGGAGGTTGACGGTATTGATATTTGTAAATCAGTATTGAATTTAGGTCGACTGAATAAAATTTTTTCATTATTCACTGATGAATCATATTGTCTGTCTTTTCGGGCGGTTATATTTTTTATTTTTAAACTTGGACGCTCAAAATGAACGTCAACAATTTTTGTAGATTTTTCAACATCTGAAAAAATTAAAATTAATATAAAAATTTTTCAATTAGTTTCTCTAATAAAGATTTAAAAATAAATATTTTATTTATGACTAGATAATTCTTACTTTTTTTTGGTATAACTTCAGTTTCATTTGAGTCCTTATCTTCATCACTAGATGTAAATATTGGGTGACTAGCTTTCTGTTTAACAGTTAAAGAAGATAATTTGTTGTAATTAGCTGTAAAAGAGGATCTCGATAAAGCCGTCTCTTCATCATTTATTAGAGGATGAATCTTTCTTTTTGATTTGAATTTTTCTTTGCCAGTTTCGACATTTGATGTCACATTGCTAGAGGCCATTTTTTTATCTTCATTCACGTTAAGTTTCTTCAATGCTTTGTCATCTGTAAAAAGTAAAATAATGATAACATTTTTTTTATTTATCTTGACAAAGAAAACTCAAAGTAAATTTACAATCTTGATCAACTATTGCTTCGTCAGAGTCATTCTCTTCATCACTAGATTTCACTATTTCATCTCTAAATTTTGACTGGACGGTTAAGGAAGATATCTTCCCAAAATTTGTTTTAAAATATGATCTGGAGGATTGATATTCTTCACGATTTATTGGCTGACGAACATTTCTGTTTGCATCGAGTCTTTCATTTTCTTCGTCAAGATTCGGTCTGATCTTGTAAGAAAGTTTTTCGTTTTTATTGACATCAATTCTCTCTGAAGATTTTTCATGATCTGGAAGAAAAGAAATTATTTCAAGAATTTGTAAACAAAGAATAAAAATTACAAAAAAAAAAACATACTATCTCTCATCCAGTATTTACTGTCTTCTTTTGGTAAAGCTCTCACTCCATCAGAATCACTGTTGTCATCACTTGAAGAAATTATTGGACTGCTAGCTCTTCGTTTGCCGGTTAATGAAGATACTTTACGGAAATTAGCTCCAAAATAGGATTTAGAAAATCGATTCTGGTCAAGATTCATTGGTCGATCAACGTTTCTGCCTATTTGGGTTCTTCCAGTTTCTTCGATGAAACTTGGTTTTACATTGGTTATAATTTCTTCATTTTCACTGACATCACCCATCGCTGAGAATTCATCATAGTCTGAAAAAATATTTTCACGATAAGACTTTTTCAATTTATTTCATAGTTTAAGAAATTAATAATAAATATACCACTTTGCGTCTGATTTTTATTTTTTTTTCTTGGCACAACTCTTATTTTACCAGGTTCATTGTCTTCATCACTTGAAGTCATAATGAAACCAATAGCCCGCCGCTTACCGGATGATGTAGATGTTTTTTCAGGATCAACGTCAAAAATAGATTTAGCCGATATGATTTCTTCATCGTTCGTCTTTGGATTAACACCTCTGCTTGTTTTGATTCGTTTAATTTTCTTATGTTCTTTGTCAACTCTTTGCTTAATTTTATTTAAAATAATTTTCCCAGTTTCATCTACATCAACCATTTCTAAATATTCTTTGTCATCTTAAAGCAATAATTTAATAAGAATTTGTCAATCAAGAATACACAATAAAAAATAAAAATTAATTTACCGTCTTGCAACAAAATTTTTAAAGCCATACTTTTGTTATTTTTTCGGGCCGTAAGCTTTCCATCTTTTTTAGCGTGTTTAATGGAATTCGTTTTAATTACCGAGTGTGTATGTAAATCTTCCCAAAATACGAGAGAAAACATTTTTTCTGTCATTTTTCGTGACATTTTTATTTGAAGTTTGTCAGTAATAACAACGATAAACCGTGTACTTTGTATGAGTCGAGCAAATACTTGTATATACAAATATTTTCGTCACTACACGCTTAACTGTAAATCAGTAATATAATGGGAAATCAGCAAGTTAAAAATTAATCAAAAATGTCTAATTAAATTAACACAAAAAATAAAAATCATGCATAAGGTTATTTTTTTAAATTTAATTCTTTATTAAAAAAATCTCGGTTTAGTTCCAAAAAATTACGTCACCAACGTTGGCGCTACTTTCCAAACCAAGAGAAAGATTTACTTGGGATAAGTATATGACATTATTAGTTCAAGAATAAACAAGAACTTGAAACAAGAAGTAAATTTTGAAGAAAATGATTTTCTCGAGTCAAGATGACTTTTTTTCTGTGTGAGATTTTTAGCGGGAAGTTAAAAATAAAAAACTTGATCTCTAATCTCGAGTGATTGATAGATTAATTAGCGTTTGAAAATCAATGGCCAGAATAGCATATGGTAAATTTTGAACCAATTGGTTGATACGTCAAGATTTCTCGCTCGTTGAGGTGAGGATGTCTGTTTTGCGTGTACGCGTACATACTCAGCATATGGAATATCAGGTAGAGATGGGGAGCGAAGTGAGAGGATTGGGGATAGCTGGAGCAGGGGCCGGGAAGGAAGGGTAGACGCTGTAGAAAATCAGAGACAGACAGTAGGACAGACACTAAATGTGTAGAGAGTTAGAGATCTTACCGCAATGACGTGCGGTCGAATACGGTATTCCGACGAAATGACGGATCCTGCGAGTGACATTCGATATCACCGTTGGTGGCCGATGAAATGCGGGATCCATACGTTATCCATGTGTGCATGTATGTCTAGTCTAGCTTATGTATAAGTATGTATCAATGTGTGTCTATATGGATGTACCTAAAGTGGTAGATTTAATGTTGAGTATTCCACCTACTATTCATCGAACTTGCTGACTGAGAAATCGCTATTAATCGTCGGATTTAACGTCGAGATCGCGTCAATCATATTTTATGTAATTGTAACGTACATATGTATGTACAATTTAATTAATTGTTCCTGGTGTAGTCTAACACACTGGAGAGTGATGTTGGGGAGTCAAATATTTAAATAATACTACATATGAATGTCTGTTGTACTTAGGCTTAATACATACATTAACTACTGTCTAATTGATTCAATCAAAACTGGAAGGATCTTTCATTTTTTGATACTTTTTATATTTAAAAAAAATTTTATCTGAATAATAAAATTTTTTTAAGCTGTTTTTAAAATATTTAATTTTTTTAATTATTATTTTTTAGTGTTTTAAGTAATAACAAATTTTTTTCGGTAATTTATCCTTTTTTGAACGAGTTAAATGATTGCATACCTGTGTAAAAACCTCCGTAAATATACATTAACATACTCAGACACTTTTCATACATATAAATATATCATAATTTTTTTTCCGTGTTTCAAATCAATATTGTCAACTTTTTTTCTATAGGACACCTTAATCATTGTTTTTACGTATATAATTTAATTAATTAACTTTAATAGCAATAAATTTAATAATTATTATATCAACTTAAAACCAACAGGTCGAATGTATGTATTATTGACAGCGCAAAAAAATTCAAAGAGCCGATTATTGACACACCATTGACCATATTATTGACAGGTCTTATATTACAGTTAAATTTATATTAACAATAACCATTTTTACTAACTAATGCAAAACTATCAATAATTTTTAGTATTTTTAAATTCGTTTATGACCTAGCTTTTCTATATTTTTTACCAGGTTTTTTTTTAGCAATTTTTTCTAGTCTCAAATACTTTGATTCTTATAAAATCACATGACAGTACGTAAACATTAATACGTTCATATGTATGTTGAGGGGGCTAGGTTACCTTACATTATGGCCTATGTCGTTATTTGACTCAAGTTAATTTTTGTGTCCCTATCATTGACATTCGCTATTTTGAAATTAATTTTAACTTGATAAAGTATAAATAAATGATTATGTGGTTATTTCGATTATAAATAATCTAAAATAATTTTAAACAATGAAATTACATAAAAAGAACATTAAGAAATCTGGATTGGAAAATAAGGTCTTTCTTAACAATATTGTTAAGAAATTACAAACGTATAAGCAGTTTTGGCCTACTCGAAAAAATGAAATTTTTTGCGGTAAATAGTTTATACCTTGGAGTTAAATTTTACTATTTTTTAATTTTAAAAATATGTAAGATTGTCTTAAATTATCAACAATTGTGATTATTAACAGATTTTAATAATAAAATCATAAAATTAAAGTGTCAATAGTGGGGCCTCTTCGATAATAGATGCTTTTACTTTAATACACATTTAATATAATTTTTTTTTTTATATTTTCAATATACATTTTTTATAATTAAAAATATATTTTCTCTATAAATTTTTCCGTAATGGAGTTCATTAAAAAAAGCTGCCGGAATAGCAATAAAATACCTCCGAGATACATGTAGCGCCATCTGTTAGAAACCGGGTGAAACTCTTCGAGAGAGAAGTAGTACAGCATTAATATAAGTCAGTCGGACAACTGAACACAAACACAATATTACAATTTTCATATAATTTTTCAGACAATCAAAGATAATCTATATTATTAAGAGAATAATAAAATGCATTAAAAAATGCTCTATCTCTAGATACATAATTAAGAAATGACTTTGTATCTTGTGAATTATTGACATTTTTAAAGATATAAGCTCACCCCGACATTACACTCATCGAGACCTTTCATTTGAGTACCCCTATCAATTTTTTATATATNNATATATTTATATATATGTATATATGAAAAATATATGAAAATGCATGTGGGTACTCAAATGAAAGCTCTTGATGAGTGCAACATCAGGATAAGCTTATATTGTTAAAAATGTCAATAGTTAAGAAAGTACAGTACAATTTAACATAATTAAGAAATGACCTTGCACCTTGTTTCAATTTAAATTGATAAATTGTTTTATGAATAATAATTAAAATCGATCCACCGGGTATTTAACAAGTAGTAAATCTTAGTCGTTTCCCTATTAGCAACCTCCGAAAATTCCAACTGAAGACGGTGGTCATTGAGGGTAATCGGTATGTATCAAATGTGGTCAGCAAGAGCCCTGATTACGTTTAGTTATAATCAGAAACCATCGTGAAGGGTTGGATGTAGGAACAAAGATACTGAAATTAGTGGTAGTGAAGCAGATTAGTGTTGACCGCGTGTGGTTGAGGATAAGTTTCATTGGTATGGGAGCGACTAGGAGACACCAACCAGGAATATGCAGACTATCTCTGTATCAGTACGGCATTGTGACGTCATCATTTGCATAGAACTCAGTAGGCGAGCCCAGAAACCAACGTGATGGGAAGGGTGACTCTGATTCAGATAGCCTCGTCGATATCCACCTCATCCGTTTTGTGTTTCTCTAGCTTGCTTGTTACACAGACTATGTTAGCGTTGTTGCGCATATATCTCCTATCTATCTAATTATTAGCACGGGCCTTGTCTTGTGATATACCGCATGCTAATAAGCGGCTAAAGACCGGGAACCGGGAGACCTTGGCCCATAAACGTCATAAATCTTACCATCCAATTCCAATCCTCGGTCTCGGGAGGCTCTGGCTATCTTGTCGTTTCGATGATTGTCTGCTTTTTTGATTGATTATCAATTTTATTCTTATGGTTTTATTTTTCGATTGATGTTACACTAAGAGAACAATTTATTTGAATTCAATGAGACTCGTCTATTATAAAGAAATCTCTTTTTTAAATACCACCAACTAATACGTATTTGACATAATTAAATTAATTTATTTGAGACAAAGATATGGTTCATTCAGTGTATTTATTTCAATCAAATAGTTACACTTTAAAAAAAAAGGTGTTAAAATGGATTCATTTTAATACCGCTATGTAATACCTGTGTATTAACACCGGTGTAGCGGTGCTCTTTTGCGATATTAAACCGGTGTAATACCGATGTAACAGTAGAATAAATTTACACCGTATCGGAGTATGAATATAACATGATCCATAAAACACAATTAATATTCAATATTTGTCAAAATGAGACAAGTAAAATTTATTTAAGAATTTTCAATTTATAAAATTACGCAGAAATTGATTTAATGAATGTTATACAACACGTTAAATAATATCCGAACAAAAACAGTTTCACTGTAAAAAAATCGCGCCAAGTCCACGTTCATAAGACTATTAAGAAAAAAAAATTTTATTTCTTTACAAAAAGATATAAAATAAAAAATTAAAAAATCCAAGTAACCGATATGGTTGTATATGATTTTCGGAAATTAAAAAAATTTTTTTGTAAATTTAAAAATTAAAAGAAACAATTTTGGAACGTATTTAGTGTGCGTGGTTACGGAATATTTCATTTTTTATGAAATTCCTAAAATCTATCTACTAGGACTTTAAAAAAAAATTGAAGTACTCAATGACGCACACCAAGTACGTTCTAAAATTGTGTCTTTTAATTTTTAAATTTACAAAAAAATTTTTTTAATTTCCGAAAATCATATACAACCATATCGGTTACTTGGATTTTTTAATTTTTTATTTTATATCTTTTTGTAAAGAAATAAAAATTTTTTTTTTTAATAGTCTTATGAACGTGGACTTGGCGCGATTTTTTTACAGTGAAACTGTTTTTGTTCCGATTGATGTAACTTGATAATTATTCTTCTATTTAAATACAATTTAATTGTCATAATAATAATTGACCCTTTACCCGCGATTTTTTTACAATGAAACTGTTTTTGTTCGGATTTCAGTAATTTTTGTAATTAT